CCTTAACTCTATACACCCCAACATCCTATTCACTATGGAGTTAGAGGCAGATAGTAAACTAGCTTTTCTAGATATTTTATTAATTAGGAATCCTGACCAAAGTTTAAGCCATACTGTGTATCGTAAAGTGACTCATACTGATAGGTACCTCAATGGTGACTCACACCATCACCCGAAACAATTAACTGCCGTAGGAAACTCTTTGTTTCAGAGAGCACGGGGTGTCTGTGACGAACAACATCTGGCAGCTGAACTTCAGCATGTCGAGCAAGTACTGAAGGATAATAACCTGAATGTACCACGTCGCCGTCACAGTCGCGCCAAACCTAGCACAGTCGACCGACAACCTGCTATACTACCTTACATGAAAGGAGTCACTGACAAGATTGGGAGGATTCTGAAGCGTGCTTCAATCAATACATACTTCAAGCCGCCAAAGAAGATCAACCAGTTTCTACGACCAGTCAAGTGCAATATACCCTTTCAAGTTGCTGGTGTCTACAAACTTGAATGCGACTGTGGGCTCTCCTACATCGGTCAAACAAAGAGGAGTATAGGGACTCGCGTAAAAGAACATATCGCAGATATGAAACATAGGCGCGAAAATAAATCTGCAGTGTGTGAACATGCATTAGGGGGACCTAACCACTATATTAGATTTGATAGACCACAGATCCTTGCAGCTGAGCGGCGTTTCGTTCCTCGAATGATGCGCGAGGCTATTGAGATTAAAAAATATCCAAATTTCAATAGGGAAGATGGTTGGTATATACCACCAGCTTGGGAACCTATTATACAGGAGATAAAATCCCAACCCCGAGCACATACTGCAAGACCATCAGATACTATTAGTTCTTTTTGTTTGCATAATTTAACATAAGAAGGAGATAGAAAGCCTCTCTTGAGTTTGTTTCGCCGGTTCTTCTCAGGAAGGTCTCCCAATTTTGGAACCGGTGGTAGTTTACGGTAGTTAGGGTCAAATAAATAAACGCAAAATTACAAACAAGAATTTTAAATAAAATACTTTATTAAGTAAATTAAATAATAAATTCATACATAGACAATAAAACTTAAAAAATCGAACGATGAAATAACCAAACGCTCAATAAAAGTCTTTCGAAGGTAGCTCGACAAATTAAACAAAAGTTTTATTCTGACGACGAAGCCTGGAAAGGCTACGAAACGTCAATAAATAAATAAAGTTTCGTGCATTATCCCGTTTAAACTAGTTTTAGGTAAAAAATGTTAAACTCGCGTCAGGTTAAACACGTGGGCTGATCACATCATAAAATTTTTCTTAGAGATAAACTTTTTTAATGTAATATAAATTGTCATGTTTGCGCAATAAATAAATATTGTATTCTGCCACATACATGATAGTACTTTTATACTGATAATTAAAGCAATTCATGCAAAATTATTCCCTAACCATTCGAAAATATCGAAAATTCACAACGTTAATATTCAGGTTTTCACTTCTGCCGGCACTCCCGGATAGAGATGGAAAAAACGGCTTATTTGTTAAAAGCGTTTAAACGTTGTACTTTTTAAAATAAGCGCGCTTGAAAAAAAGCTTTTTCGTTTAAACGCTTATTGGCTTAAACGTTTAAAAGCATGCGTAAAAAGCGCGACGTTGTGTTTTCGTATAGGTATATCGTTTAAAAAAGCGTGAAAAGTTTATTGTCGTTTTTAATGTGTTTAAGTGTTTTATTGCGTTTTTTCTTCTTATTAATGAAATTTTTATTAAAAAGTTTTTTTAAACCTAATGAATTGATTGGCATTAAAAACGAAAGATTTTCAATTGAATTTAGATTTTATAATAAACATTTTTATAATAGTCAATGAACTTTCCTTCGTACTTTACAAGCTAAGGACTGTCTGGAGTTAATATACTCGTGATCCAGGCGTACTTAAAAGTTCATTGATTTTATATACATACTTTTAACTATTTTATATGCACATTAAACCAATACATGAAACGCATTAACACAAGCAAGCATGCAAACACACCGCACAACACCCACGCGCTCTTACCCCGTCACAGTGACAAGCGTACTGCTTTTCGACTTCGTTTAATTAAACGCTTTTAATGAAAAAAGCGTTGGTTATCCGACCAAATTTTAAAAAAGTGCATTTTTTTACGTCGCAATATAATAATTCGCATGCTGTATTAACCGGCTCACGAAAGATGGCACGCCGACGCGGCGCTGTAGTCGCGCGTTCTATGTCTGTGATATTGTGAAATATTGAGTTCCAAGGAATTCCGCGTACCCATTTTTCGATACTGTAGTGGACTAGAAGGATCGAAGTATGTAGTTTCCTGGCAAAGACATAGATGGCGGGATTTGCACTTTTTAAGTAAAAAATATACTTGCACTTTTTTAAGTGAAAAGCTTACTCACACTTTTTAAGTGAAAAGCTTATAACGCTTATACTTAAAAGCGTGCTTACAAGCGCGCTTTTCGTTTAAACGCCCACCGCTACTCCCGGAGTGCAACCCGTCGTTTTTTTTTATATAAACATTCTTCTTTTGTTTTTTCTGTTGGGTTTTCTTATGATGCCATAATTGATTGAGATTTCCCGTTTTAATGGTACCGTTCGTTTGGGGAAGCAACCTCGACCTCACACAAGACCAGAGTAAAATAACACTTCTTTTCGGTGGGATTGTGTTTCTGATGGTGAGTAGGGTTCCAGGGCTCCGCGTAGGGGTTGGGTTTAGGCCTGCAAGGTGAGGGTGCTGGAGCGCGAAAAGGCTGGAGAGCGAAAGTGTGCTCTTTCTGCCGCATCATCTGTCTTCGCGACTGGACTCCATTTAAACTTAACGTCAGACCTCCAGCTGTGAATCATTACTACCATTTTTAGTGGTGTTGATATGCTGGAGGTGAATCAGGTTGCCTTTGCTCAATTTTTCCTCGTGGTAGGTAGGGGACTAATTTAGCAAGAGCATTTTTTTTACAATTCTGTTGCATCGGCTATCGTCCTCTCATCCTAGGCTTATTGCATTATTTCTAATTGTCAACACTCATAATATTTTCGTACGATGGAAATCTACGAGTGAATTTGGAATAAGCGCTTGTGGCAAAACCTCTAAAACCACACATACAAAAATTTATACTGGGTGGAGTAGAGTCACGTTGCCTTCTATAAAAAGCGTCGTTGTAATCATTGACCATATAATTTAAGTTTACGACACGATACGTAACGGTCGGTCGAGCGAAATATCCACTAATAATAGTTAAGCAAATGCACTATGTACTACGAAATTGATTTACGTAAAAAACAATAATTTTTGTGACCTATTTGCGTAAGCCCAAGGGCTAATTGGGTTACTCACTAACTATAGATTTTTAGTTAAGTCCATTAACTATTTCGATACGCTCAGAAAGGTGTCACGTGTTAGCAAATTATTGGTTTAACGTTTAAGTAAGCACTTATTTGTATGGAAGCTGATTTTGCAGCGCATCGTTCCGGTATTTAGTTAAGTTGAAATTAAGTTTACTTAATGGTGCGTGGATGGAACTCGACAGCACAGTGGTAAGCAGGCACAATTGCTTTCACAATACTATTTTGTCCTGTAATTTTTATTGCACAAAAAATATACCTAGTAACAATTAGATAAAATTCACTGCATTATTCAAGGTTAATCGTTAGCCAAAATACTGAAATTTGAACAAAACAAACATTAACAGAAATGTTATGGATTATTTTGACAAGCTTTGTATGGGAAAACAGAAACTTTACCTTTAGAGGTATTCTTACATAATGTTTTCACATTGGGCAAATTGTTTCTGCGTAGCGTTAATGCACGAGATGCCATGATTATCTACACCAACAGTTAAGTAATATTGTATAGTAGTATCGACACAAACAAACCAAACATAATAAATTGTAGGGAAGCCTTTGCTTGAATTTTGGGATTTACTAGATACAGAATAACATAAGGGGCGTAACCTTGCACCTTGTGAAGTACTCCCACCATATCTACTTCGGTGTGATAGTCGCTTACAATCATGACCTTATTTTCCAGTTTCCATACCATTTGCATAAAACAAAAGTACATTTTTGTTCCGATTGCGTTTGTGATTGGTCACAGGCCTTCCCTATTAATAGAACGTCTAGAAACCAGTGAACAAGAACAGTGTAGATTGATGGGTATGGGTACTAACGATTGCAGATGCTGCTGACATCTGTGGCATACCGTGTATGAAATGGAAGCACGGAGGAACTCGTAAAAAATCTGGATACCTACTCATTTAAAATTTCGGTCTTGACAACGACATTGAACAATCTTCGCAATTCTTCGAACTCTTTGATTTCGACTTTCTGAACTTGAAAATTCATAATAATCTAACCAATTAAAGTTCTCCAGTAAAGAAAACGCATACTAAGAAGGTACTTTCTTTAAGCAATCTTCAGTTGTTTTGCCATTAATTTAATAAGTTCAAACTACATCTTCCATGTTGTGTAATTACAAAATAACACTTTGTAACACTGAATTGAGTTGAATTTCTTTTTTGCAGCAGTGACATAGCTAAGAGTCAATGACAGCGCATAATTGACACAGATTTACTGAATGCAGACGAGATTCAGTACACGACATTCTGATGATTCTATTCTGTTTATCACCAATTTCTATAACACTTTTCTTTAAAAGTTTTTGTACTTAACTAGGTAACTCAAATCAAAAATATCTTATTTACTTTTTCCGGCATGTCGTTTCGCGAGTCTTATTTTAATCGAGTAAAGTACTAACCCATATTGTAAACAAGCTCCCAAAACTTTTATGAAGTTGCCTTAAAATTGACATTTCATTTCGCAAAATGCTTTGTGTACACTAAGCGCAGAGACAAAAATGATATTATTTATGAAAAAAAAATCGCGATCACAAGTAAAAGGAATGCCGAGTCATTTCCACAAGCGCGCCGAGTGTACACGATGCGAGCTGCGTGCGCGCCGATGCGCGGACTTTCTCTCCCCACTAACTTGCGGCCATTTTGCAGCGGGGCGGCGCGGCTCGGCGGCGTCAGAAGACGAAAGACCTCGCGGGCCCAACCTCGTGAACAAGCAGCCGGCATTGCCGTTCGTGCCGCCCGCGTTCCCTCACAACGCGCCCGATCGTTTGATAAAGCCGTCGGAGTATCTGAAAACCATCACGGCGCCGTGCAAGCGGGACGACACGGCGGCTGAGGCGCGCCCGCCGCCGCCGCCGCCGGTCCCCAATGACGGCGTGCCGCCACCGCCGCCGCAGCCTCCAGCGATGGCAATCTCACAGCCCTTAGCGGCCATCAGCACAGCAGAACTCACAGCCGTCAGACTCCGCGCACCAGCCACAAAAACCTTGTCAGCCCCTCCACCAGCGAGATCGGTCAGCCTTCAATGCCTTCCGAGTGCGGCAGAGAACTATCGAAGCGCGAAAACGGACTTAATTGAAGAACTAAAGATGTCGAAGGATATAACGGGCATTAAGAAGATGAAGGTGGAGAGAGCGAGACGGGAGAGTCTACAGGACAAGGAGACGTTTACAGAATTCACCAAAAGGTTCACAGCGGAGAACTTCGTTGACCAGGTCAGTGTCCCATATTTACTCTTGTCGATTCTGGAAATGTTTTCTTTAAAACTGTTTTATTTTTCAAATGAATCAGGATTTATATGAGAGGAATACTGTTTTCTTATTCTCACTGATAAATATCTCATTAAGTAAGGTTCAATAGAGATAGATCATCTTTGAATAACCAGACACAAAGTAATTACAAAAGAAAGAAACAAAAGCGTAGACTTCATTACAGTAACGATAATATCCAGATGATTCATGAATTATGCATCCGAATTTTAATAGGCACCCGTAAATCTAGATTATTCTGTGTTAGAAATTGATAAATTATGAAACACAAGGCAACAATATATCATTATCTTCATTTCAAAGTGATATTAATAAATGCATTTTCTCAGCGATTGCTTTTACTCGTGATTTGTTCGGATTGTAATGATATTATATCGTTCTCATATAATTGTATTGCTATTAAATTCTGATGAAAGTAAACTTGGTATCATTAAAAATAACTTTTATATAATTTTCTTACTAGTAAGCTACAATAATTCCAACGATGGTGCTGGTAAAAAAATATCCTTGTAGATTAGGCATTTTTGTTATAGTACTTATCTAGAAACTCGAATGTTTCTTTGTATCTTAATAGAAAAGCAAGCATCTAACATCCTCAGTTAGATTCTATTTTGGGACTTCCAGAGAATGTCACTTTTTGCGACTGTAGATAGTTATTCAAACACGAAACAATTTTTTTTCTCCATTACTTGGCATCATTTGCAGGTTGTTTAAAAGAGTAATAATTTAAGTATAAGGCTAAGAATTTTAAGACAAACAATCCTTACAAAGTTGGAACACATTTCGTGATTTGAAAAGTATCTAGTTTTAAATTTAAGTACATGTGAATCTTTATAGCCAATTATAGATAAACCTCTCGCTCGTCAGTTCGCTCAGTCTCGCTGGAGCGAGACCAATCATTCATCTATGAGATAAACCTAACCTGAGACATTGCAGCTTTGCCCGACTTTTGTCTGTTAAGTGGTTATCCTAAACTCATTAAAGTTCAGACTTTCGGTTAAATATCAGAGTTAAGTATTATGTCTGTATCTTTATATGAATTTAGAATAATATGTAGCTCTGTGAGAATCACAAATGCCCTTAAAAAGTGCGAAATATACAACCTGTGTTTATTATAAGAACTTTGTGTTCTGTGATAGATACAACAGTGTTGGGCTTAGTGTAGGCTGTGTTTTATAAATGCTTGTAAGCCATTTATATAGTATTCTAATTCTGTATCAAATTAAACTTTCTGGTGCAACATTATGTAGGTGTTAAAATGAGCCGTCTGTTTTACGCTCGGTTGCATTTGCGCCATGAATAATGAAAAGAGATCTCGTCACTATACTTGACGGATGAGCATGTGCATATGTAGGGTTGTCAATATTTTTTAATAATAAAAAAGCTTTATACTCCTCACATCATATATATATATAACATGAACATCACAAGCAACTTTTATTTCAAATTGGTAACTGTGATGAGCTGGATCCTATTTTACCAAGTCGACATATGTCACTAACATATGGACAGATGATAAGTAACAATTTTGGGATATTTTTCGGAAATATTTATAAAACAACAGGCAGTCCGTATCTTAGTTCAACGACAATTATGTTCTGCAACAGTGATAACTTTTTAAGTCAACATATTTGATAAATTGTCTATAATTCTTGACATAAGACTGGGGCTGTGTCCGATTTGCGTTACAATTGTAGTGTTTTCATTATTTGTTACAAAATGGTTCTCCATGAGAAGAATATTAGAAGAGAATTTATAAAGAATGTATCTATTTTTTGATATTACTGATTTTGCGTTCAAAGAAAAATTCTGCATGCAAAACCAGAATCGAACATTTATTAACGAAGTCGCAGTAAACAGATTACCCCACCAAACCGTTGGCTTACCTAAATATGTCAGTGACATATGTCAACTTGGTGAAATAGTGCCCTGGTGGAGTATTATGAACGCTTAACGCCAGGCGAAAACAGCGGTTGAAGTAGGATGCTGCTCTACTGTGCGTATGTGATGTGTCTCTTTAACAATGGAGACTTTCCTGGCGTTAGGAGTTGATAATACGGCCTCTGGTGTCTGATATAGGCACATGCCTGTATTACAGACAGTGCCGTCTTTGACCTATTGGAGGCCCTGGGCATATTAGGATAATGGGGCCCCTATAACCCCTGTTTGGTGATCTAACAAGAACTAGGGACTTTGTATTTGTGATCTGAGGTGCCCACCTATCGATCACGGGGCCCTGGGCACTTGCCCAAAGTGCCCACTGAGAAAGACGGGTCTGATTACAGATCACCAAGTCCCCACCCTCGCTCGGTAAATACACGGGATTGTAATCACTGTGGGAGCTTACATTTACTAATTTACGATTATTATTATTTTAATTTAAATAATGTCAACTTTTGAGACAAGTAAACAAGGATGTCATTGACAGATTTGATTAACTTCTTACACGAGAAATATGCATGTTAGTAGGCGAGTTTGTTACTTCATCGTTCTTTAATATTTTTCCCATTATGGATTGGGATTCATTGAACGATAATCACATTCACACATCAATCAATAGTTACGGAAATTTCCATAATTGTATTATAATACAAAGGGGTGCCCAGGTCTTCGTCTGTGAAGAAATATTGGTTTCCCACATAAACATTGAAGCCCCTTTTGGGGGTGAGTTTTGGAAAATAGCTACCTATATGTGACAGATTTCAGCTCAATCCGTTCAGTGGTTTAAGCTGTGCGTTGATAGATAAATCAGTAACGGTTGCTCTTTATATATACAGAAGGAAGAAGATTCTTTTTCATTCTAGTTCTTACTTTGATTTATTCATTGCATACCTACTGGGTTTTGGTTTTGGGTATATTACAGATGCAATCCATTTAATTTTGACTTCAATTCTTAAAATTGCTCTATAGGATTGGATTGGGAAAATAATTTGTATTAATATTTGTATTAATATGTGACAATAATGACGTATGAATGAATGTAGATAATGCATCTTTGATCGATAAATCTGCCAACCCAGCACAGGCACAAGAAATTGCTCTTCGCATAATGAAATATATAGCCTAATTTGATTATTTGTAGCATTTTATATTCTGAGATATTTTAGGTAACGCTCGATTTCATGTTATTGAAAACCCAAAAAGAAGAAGAATAGGGTATTGACAAGTTTTAGAAAAAGATCTCATGTTAATGACTAATGTTTATGGAGTCCGTAAAAATCATTCTGTTGTGTATTTCAGTAAAAATAACCAAATCAAAAACTCCATTTTCAAGTTGCCGCGAAAACGTGTCGCTGGACAATATGGCGTCTTACTAGTGTGTGACGTCACACGACTGTTATTAAAACGTCAAACGATACAATGTAATGTCACTTTAACCGGAAGTTTACTTGCGTGTAACGTCATTTTAGGCTCCGCCAATCCCTAGCGTTTTCGGTCACGTGACAATAGATAAGAAAACTAATATCTTTTTCGAGGGTTTTTAGTAAAATTATGATTTTTTTTTTGTAAAATTAAAAAAACCCCTGCTAATATTCAATCTAAACACAGATGCTAACAATTGGCACTTTATTATCAATACTGACAAATACCCTATTGACAGTATGGAACTTCTTTGATGAAATTGGAGTGCTTGCTTGTGGTTAATCTTTGAGTACCCACATGTACAATATCCTATTTATTAACAAGATCAAAAAGCATAAAAGCAAAAAATGTGTTGCCAATAAATTATTCATCTTTTTACGCAAAAGTAGGTAGGTATCTACTCGTTTAAAGAAATATTAACTTGAAAAAGAGCACACATATTAACATTTAAACGATACTTACTTTACATGAATAGATAATGTTAATACAAATTACATCTCGATGAGAAACTTATTTCAAGTGAAAATTTAAATCGCAAAATAGATGATAAACGTCAGTTGATTTGCAACACTTAAGCAAGCAGATATTTTTAGATTCAAGCTTTTTAGGAGTGCCAAAATCCAAAATTATGCCTATTCACTTTTTAAACTTAATCATGAGCCTGTGATTGGAAATAAGCTTTTTATTAAAATTAATTGGTAAGAATACTTGACTTTCAATTTCTTTGAGTAGGTATACAGTTAAAATTATTTATTATTGGCCGTGCGCTCATACAGAGACGTCAACGTGAAGTCTTTAGTAACTTTATTGGCAACAGTAATAGAGTGTGTGTTACTATATTTGGTGTCTCTGAGTGAAGCTGTAAGTAAGTGTTGTAACTGTCCCTAACAAGTACTAAACATTTATAAAATACTAGTGTGTTATGTGTGTACTCCGACATCAGGTAATGAGTCAATTTATTTTGAGAATAGAGCGGAAGGTACACTTAAAGTTGCCTTTCAAGTTAGGGCATAGCGTATTTTATAGCGGATAGCGGATAAGGCGAGATCCACAAGGCGGCATGACCCCCAAATCTTCTTAAACTTACGGTTTCTCATCCGGTAGGTATATCACCTCCAAAATTAAACATCTTTAGGCTATTGTGACGGCTTTCCACCAGGCGGGTCTCCATATGTTTATGTTTGCTCCCGTTTGGAAGTTAACATCACCGTGATACAAAATATTGACGTTAACTTTAAACTTAGGCTAAAAATGGCTATCATCTTTGCCAAACAGATAATAAAATAGCTACTATTGCCAAGGCAAACTTTATTCCACGCTTTGGAATTTGTTAAAGGGCAAACTATTGATCCTCTATCTGGTCCGTGAGCAGAGATAAGATCTACGCTGCCGCTGTAGCGAGCTTACCCAGAAGAAACCTATTGATTCTGGCTTTAAAAAGTTTAAAATTATATGTCCTCGGTAACAAACGCAGGCAGGTAATTTCACTCCTTCGCTGTATGCATTATAAAAGTATTTGAGAAGCGTTTGATTTAATTTGTTAAATTGAAAACCTAAAAAGAAGAAGAACTGACACTATGGAA